TTTTGTACTGAGAAGTTTCTACTATACTTTTAGTTCTTCTCCTCTTCTTCTTGTCTATTGCTTCTCATATACCTTATCTATTTGTATCTTATATTCATTATTAAGTCTGTTGATTTTGTTATTTGCTTGTTGATATTTTTCTTTATCTATATTCTGTTCTGCTTTTTTGAAATATATATAGCAAATTTTGCTTAAGCATTTCAAATCTTTGTACATCTTATTACTACTTCTTGCCATCTTTGTTAGTATTCTATTCATCAATACTTTTTGACTTAGCAAATTTGCAAATATACTTTCTAAGATACTACTTGAGATTGTATTCTACAATTTATCAATATTTTTGTTTGCAAAGTTTTCTTTTGCTAGAGCTATATTATTCTCTATTTCTAGCTTTTTTTTTAGTTTTTCATTTAACTTTGCTCTGTATCTTTTCTAATTCTCTTCTTATACTTTGTCTAGTTTGAGAATTCTTTTCTTTTCCTTTAGTCATTTTTCTCTTGCTCGAGATCTTGTTTTTTGTAATATGCCTATACCTATCTTTGCTGATACAATTCTATAGTCACTTTTGTAATATATTCTGCTTCTATTATCTCACATTTTATTACATACTAACAAAGCTTCTTTGAGGTCTATATATAATCTATTCTTGTACTAACTAATTTGTTTGACTATGTAAATTCTTTTTTATATGAGTATGCTATTCTAAATATATTGTTATAAAATAAATTTCAATTAGTTTATCTTATTACATTATTTTATTATTTTATTATTAGTATTTTTTATAAATAGTTAGTTTTTTGAATATACTTTATTTATTATATCACTTTTACAAATAATTTAGTAGTCATAGATAGATTTAGACTTTACTATTAGATCCAGCTTAAAGAGATCTTTCAAACGAGCTATAATTCATAACTGTAGAACTCTTAGTTTTTGAGTTATCTTAGAAACAACTAAGAAACAGTTACTATTCTTACTGTTTTTATTATTTTTACTATTCTTACTATTTTTACTGTTCTTACTATTTTTATTGTTCTTACTGTTCTTACCATTCTTATCCTTAATTATAAAAAGCTATATAAACTCTTACTTTTTTCTTTGCTTCAGATTAGGTTTGACCTCTGCAATCTCTTTAATATTAGAATTCTTTTAGCACAAAAACTAATAGATAGTCTTGTATTATCGATATTGTATTCTAAATAAAGTATAATCTTTGCTCTTTCATTAACTTTGTAATGAACTACCACATTGAAGTAATATTCTACTTAGACACTGTTGAGAGCTCCTCTTCTATGTCTTATATTATTTGTATTGAATTAAGAAGGCCAACACTTGTAATACTATAATTTTAGAAATATATTTATTTATTTGCTCTTAGCTTTCTTCTATTTTTTCAATTACTCTTATAAGTTTTTGCAGTTCTTCTTTCTCAAATATTGCTTTAAGACTGTTTATCTTTTTAGTTTTGAGTAAAAGGTTTTCTTTTATTTGTCTATCTTGACTATGCTTCTTATCTGCAATCATTCTATCTAATCCTATTTCACTCATATTTAAATTTTTAGCTTTTTTCTAAACTTCTTAAGTTATTTCCTAATTGTCTATAGTTTGTTTAACTTGAATTGTGTATACTTCTATTTTATTAGTTTGCATATAACATATTCTGTTAGTAATTTGAATATATATAGTTTGTTTACCTTGTTTTGTATTTTGTATTATATAGAGTAATTAGTAAGATAGAGTATTTGCAAATCCTTACTTTTTACAAAATTTTCTTCAAAGTTTTTTGACTAGTCATGTTTTCTTTTAAATATCTTTAGAGATTTCTAAATTTTTTATTTTACTAGATGTAATTATATATTCTCTTTCTTTTTTTTTAGTATCTCTTATAATGTTACTTAATACTAATTTTTAGATATAAGTATTTTTTTTTTAGCTCTTAAGTTAGTTAAAATGATCTGTATATTATACTAACATTATTTGAATATTAAAAATATAATATAATATTATATAAATAAATTTAATAAGATCTATAAGCAGAGAGCCTACATAGTAGAAACCTTGAGTTAGTAATTAGTATAACTTTCAATAATTATATTAGCTAATATTTGATTTGACAAAATATATCATCAAGAAAGATATAGATTAAAATAGATATAAAAAAGTCTATTTTATTAGAAGAATTAGTAATACTAACTTAATTTGGTGGCTAACTAGATTTAAAAGATCTACTTCATAAAACATTCTAAGAAATTGAATACAGATACTAGTAAAAAGCTACAGCAGGAACTGAAATTATACAAATATTACAAGAGTTTAAGCTAGATGAATTTGTAAAATAAACACAGACTACTCTAGTAAGTATACTTTAAGGTTAACTAACTTTGCAGATATTTACAATATGTTAAGTATAATATAACCTGAAAAGATCTAAATTGAAATCAGTAAATAGATTTGTAATAAGTTAATTAGCTTAAATAGTTAAGTATTATAATGATATTAATTTATAACAGTATAAGTTAGTTAAACAGAATATTTAAATAGATAACTTACAAACAGGTTACAGATATAACAACATAGTATAGTACTAACAGGTAATCTAATGTCTATACAGCAGACTACTTAAATTAAACAATGACTAAAATTATACATGTAGCTTGTTGTACATTCTTCATATAATTACAAACTAAAGAGAATTACCCATATGTGACTCTATATATCAAACTAATAAAATCTACTTAGCAATGTAAATCACCTTAATAATAATAATAAATTAAAAAATTAAAAAAATTACTACATCTGGCTGAGTTTTCTAGTTCCAGTTAAAATAAACACTGCCAGAGAAAAAGCAGCTTCCGGCACCCCAAAATTTTGTGCACTGGAAGTAGAGTAATTTACTTATTACGTAAAAGTTAATCACATTATGCGACAATTCAGTATGTTATTATTTGCGAGTATATGTTATTAATAAATTGTCGCATAATGTGATTAACTTTTACGTAATAAGTAAATTACCTTGCCCATCTTTAACTGGGAGGAAATTAAGTCCAGACAATAGGTAAGAAAATTCCGCGTGGGTCAACCTCAGTTCGGAGTCCAAAATAAGGCAAATTTCTAATCAGAATCATATCAATAATCAATACAGTACATATCAATATTATTCTTTCAAATTGATATCGATATACATATTGATATTCACAATTTATTTAACTTTACGATCGCGTTCAGTATAGTAATGAAGGTAGTAAAAAAACCTAACGCTAATGATAACGTAATTGGTGAAAATAAGTGGGCAAAAATTTTCGAATAACGGTAATTTGGCAAAGCCGCAAAGTGGCACGTGTAGCCAATCAATTGTCAAATTACTGTATCGGTATTCGAAAATTTGAATAACGGCAATTTATGATAAGGAGTTGTCAGCTGAGTTTTAATTTAAATAAACATGATTACATCATAGCACATTAGCGGAGCTTAAGAATATTACTATGAAATCGTATAAGGAGCATGCGAAAAAACCATGAAGATAACTAACATTGCCCGAACTTTGCCACGGTAGAGTATTATAATACCCTACTGTAACTGGTAAAGTTTAATATTTTGATTGAGGTGCTGGGCAGTGATCGACCCGAACTTTGAGGAAGCGACTCTGGCTGATTCTTAATTGTCCATTATGTGGACCAGTCTTTTGGTACAGAATAATCTGTTACAACCGTTTAAATAGCTATAAATAAGGATTAATTACTATATATGATCACCGAATATATTTCGAACAACTGATATATAATAATTGCCCAGATAAGTCTTGTATTTAATAATATCCGGGTAAATGGATCCCAATCTCTATGTTACAGCTTTTTTTGGACAATAAAACGATCATCAGCCGAATTAAAAAGTTACTGATGTTACTGAGAGACGGATTCACCCGTCCACCGATATCGATTCTTAACTCTAACCAACACTAAACTACTGACAATTTTTTCAATAGTGAGACGGCAAAAACAATATTTTATCAGGTCGTGTAGGCCTTTACAGTGGGCTTTAGTGAAGGCTTGATGTTTGATGGATATAAAAGTAGATTCCACAAGGAGCACTCAAACCAAAAACTGTGTAATTAATGTGTAATGGGTTCTATATTTTCTCTCAACTCGGTAGTAGTCTCTCAAATACGTTGTATAAATTGAATCTGGATCCGAATTAATGGATTTAAAAGACCCGATACTGACGATAAGCACATAAGAAACAAATGTGGCCTGATGCCGGTAGTTAGTGGTGCGGTGTATACTCTGCCAGAGTAACTAATAAAACCAAACTACACCAGAGTAGGGATGGTAAAAAATCGCTTTTTAATGATTTTTGTTTTTTAACCTGATTTATTGCGGTTTGATGTAGGCAATTTCTAAGTGATTTCTGATTTCTTAAAACAACTCCGATATGACAATTTCATACCTAGATATCGGAGTTGTTTTAAGAAATCAGAAATCACTTAGAAATTGCCTAAAAATCGTACGATTTCTTTTTTTTTTTTTTTGATCTGCAAAATTTACATAATTTTGCAAACCGCAATAATAAAATGTTATAAAACATTGTTGATTATGACGCTGATGGCTGAAACCGAAATTACTGCACCTGATTAAACGTCGCATGATCTGAAATAAAATTTACTCGGTTATCAATGACGATGATTTAAATCATAAAAAAAATCATTTTAAAGCAATATAATATTGATTTAAACCATTGTGTTTTAAATCATTTGCCATTTCTATAGAGTTATTACTCCAAATTAAACAAATTAAACTCAATAGTTTTGACCTGGAGCATGACTTCAGATTAAGCTTTATAGTATATTAAAATATATTGCTAATTATAGTCTTATATTTAATCTAGAACAACTTCATTTAATGCTATAGTATTAATTATTTTAATAAAATATTTATCTTTATTCAAAATTAGAAAAAATAATTTATATTTTTAGGTATTAGCAGTAGCCTGGAGTATAAATCACTCTATTTGACTTCTATAGCTATCACGGAGTGGTGTGGCCAGGGTTGGCAATGGATATACTCCATTGAAAAAATTGCTAGCCAATGGGAGCCAATGGAACTAATGGAGCCAATAGAGCTAATGGAGTTAGTTATTATTTATTAACAAATAAATACTATATTATAAGTCCATATTGGCTTCATTCTCAATGGAGCAATGGAGTGATGTCAATGAAGTTCACCCCAATGGATAAATGTGCCAACCCTGGGTGTAGCATATGAACTGTTATATACTCCTATATTACTCTGGAGTATTAATAGTTACCGGTAGTAGGTTTCCACACCTACATACTCTAGTACCCGTTAAAAAAATACAAGATCCGTTCGTAGATCCTGCCGACCGACCCGAATTTTGGGAATCCCCCTGCATGAGTTTTTTTTAGACACTGAACTCTAAATCCGAATAAGGTTCGCTTCGGCTAACAAATTCATTATCGTTATAGAGATTGTACCCGAGAAAATACTACCTGGATTTTAATAAATACCCGGGTTTGCCCGATCACCAGTTCATTCAAAAAAACATCTAATGATAATGTTAAAATTTCAGGTAAGTTATTTGAAATCAGTTTTATAAAAGTTTACTTCAATTTTTTTTTCAATAGCAGAAATGGTCAAGTGTATATTGATATACTATTTGTACTGTACATCGATATACTTTTTATATAAAGATCATTTTGTTTTTTTTCGTTATTACCTTGGCATTCTGTCCGATGACCATGAAGTTTTAGAATAACGATAAGGTAGTTAATATGATCAATCAATTCGATCGGGTAAAATCGATAGTGTTTATTAGGTTTTCGTAAGATGCCTCTAATATGCCGTAATGTCAAACATTTTTGAAATTTAATTTATTTTACGGTTAATAATCCCAAAATTTCTAATTCGAAGGAAAAAGAGGTTTTCTTGTTAAGACTAGAGTTAATACTTCAATCCGGATTTAAATATATCCGAATGTTAAAATTTATAGTAAAACATAGTAATTATATCCGGGTCCATCCAGATTTAAAATAAATCCGGATTTAAAAACATAGTGAAGTATTAACTCTAATTTGAACCGATTAGACAATCAGGCCAGTTAGCCAATATTTGATAGAAGAACTTTTGTCAGCGAAATTTCGATTTTGTACAGGATTGAATACTATAGCGTCGTTCATATTCAATAAGGTGTAGCTTAAATATTAGTAATTGTTGGAATTGAAGAAAAGATAAATTTTTATTAAAGATCAAGAACATTTTTTTTATTCGATGGAATTGTGTTTATATAAATCCTCCTAGAGGTTTTGTGCTGTTAATTCATATTAGGGTGTGAGATAGAATTAAGAAATAACTTTAGGATACATAATCATCAAAGTAATAGAGTTTTTTTTTTTTTTTCGTATAAATTAAGCAAAAACTAATCATTAAAATCTAATTACTAAATAAAAGAGGGGCTCTATTAGGCCATACAAAGTTAATTAATTGTTTCTCAACATACAAAATTGAAAATGACCCGCCCGCCCGGCTTTTTAACTTTAATTATAAAATTTTATATTTTTTATTATTCAGAAAAATATTAAAATTTTTTAAAAAAAAACCACCCGGAAGTATTTTTTTTCAAAATTTTACAAAAGCTGACCCGACCGGGTTATGAAAAACAACCAATTAACTTTATATGGCCTTACTTAAAGAGAATGTTAGGCGAGACCAACTTGGTTGTGTTTTACATTACCCCCCTCTCCCCTCCAGAAGGGGGGGGAGGGGGAGAATTTGTGGTTTACATAGTAAAATTTTTAAAAAAAAAATTTTCAAAAAAAAATGTTTCCGAATTGTTCCATGACTATATAAAAATTTTCCGAAATAGCCCGTAGCCCTATGTATATTTTATCTAAAATTTTTTACTATGATGGGGGGGGTAATGTAAAAAACAGAATCCAGTTGGTCTCGCCTTAAAGAGAATCTAATAATTTTACTCGCGTATCTTTTAAAGTAGTTCAAAAGTTGTTTCATATTAGTTTCATATTAGCCTCACAATTATAAACTCGTTTAAAATCGCTATTAGCCTTTATTTTCATTGATTTAATTTACAAAGGAATGCTATATAATCCCTTTTCTAGTTTCAACTACCTTGTGATATTAAATCGATTTTTACTTCATTTACACCCGAATTTCGACGAAAACTCGATCGAAAGGCTTATTATTTTTACTAATTGAAGTTTTATATTTTGGATGTGAAAAGTAAGGATTGGAACCGTTTAATCGCATAAAAAAAAAAAAAAAAAAATTGTTCCATAATTCCAGACCGTATTATATTTATGGACTGAATTAAACAAATAAAGAAATTTTGGGCGGTTTCAATCCTTAATGAAAACTTTCACTTTTGTAATTATTTTTTTCACTTATTGTGTGCATAATCGATATAACCGTATCACTTTTATTCAACATACCCTGCTTAGTCGCTAAATCACTCTTAGATTCTTAGTTTTAATAATTTATAGCATTTTGATATAGCAAATTTTGATTGGTTGTTAGTTTGACACCATGAACCAAAAATGTGACACATATCTGATTTTGGTTATTATCCCAAATTAAGTAGAATCCCGAACACACAAACTATGTAATAATGTCATAATTCAAAAAAAAGATTTAGGTCGCAACCCTAGAGTCAGCGAAGGTAACGATACTAATGATTTAGGACGTGATGATGTCGGAACAACACGTCCATTATAAACTGAGGATTGTGGGGATGAGGTTGAATCGGAAGATGTCACTGCTCCTGAATTACCAAAAGGTGACTGCTCATCAGGATATGATCGACGTGCAGGATCATATTGAATATACTCCATATTTCGGTCTCCATGTATAGAAAAATCGGATCTTGATGACATTGATTGGATCGCTGATATCGAAGTTGTTGAAGAATGTGTAGGATCTTGAGGCTGCAATGTTGTTGGTGGATGTATGGCTTTTGTACTCACTGGACCTGGTGAGTCAGAGGTAACCCTTTGACCATAATGTGGTAAACTTTCATGAGGTGGATATCTAACATCATGTGAATATCGAGAATGATTGTACATATCATGTCGTGACTGGTATTCATGAGAACGACTAGGATGAGGATAAAGATGGGCAAATGCAGACGGAGGAGCTCCATATGTGCGGGGAGAAGGGACACCGTTAGTAGTACGTTCAGAGTTAGGTTGCAATTGTTGTTGTTCAGTAGATAAAAGATCTTGAATAGGAATTTTAGCGGAACCAGGTTGACCTGAAGTATGATCACCTTGTCCATTATCCTGTTTAGGTGGAGGAGGTAGATGATATGTATGATAATATTCAGGATATGAATACACCGGGCGACGTGGCGGTATTGGAGGTAGGTCACTCCGATATGAAGAAGAAGAATCAGTACTATGATCTCTTTGAGATGGACGTTCACCATAATGTGTCCATTGTCGCGGAGAAGGGTAAGGATTTGACATATCATATCCATAAGGTCTAGAGACACCCGAAGATTCGTTTGAAGAATGAGGGATCCTTGGTGGTGTATCATAATATCCAGGTTGATTTGGATAAATTGGAGGCCTGCCATAAGTTGGTGGATGAGAATATGGATAACGATGATGGTCTGCACCTTCAGGTAATGGAGGAGGATAATAGTAAGGATGATAACCATATCTTCTGTCATATGGATCATAATAAGGGGGGTAATGCGGATCATACTCCGGGCGGGCATGCCAGGAAATTGGTCGATGTGGTGGATATCCTGGTCCATACAAAGGAGAATTATGATCATATGGACCCATGTGAGGCATATGATCGTAGGGCCCTCGAATATATGACATGGATGGACTTTTATTTGTATGATCATTTCGTCTTTCGGTTAAATCAGGAGTTCTCTTAGAACGTATCTCATCTGTAGACTGTGAAAGATCTGTCACTTCCAAATCAGAAGAGTCACGACTATCATTATCGAATCTATCATCACCGCGTACGCGTTTCATCCTATTTACATCAGCACTTTCAATCGGTTCTAATTCTTTTCTTTTAGCTAACCGCCTACTTATTATTTGAAAAAAAAAAAAAATGAAGCAGAAGAACATAGAAAATAAAATACGAAACAGGAAATAAAATGACCTTCGTATCCTGATTTCTTTTCTTATTCTGATTTTTAAACCTTGATCGGCAAAAGACCTTGATAAAAACGTTGATTCTAAGAATATAAATATAATAAAAAGTTTAGAAATCATAAAATTTCTTTGAGATATTATCTGATTTTAACATCATATTAACCTTCCATTCCAGGAAATCTTTTTGCAGAATATACGATGAATATATCTGATAATATTGATTTACAATGATATACATCGCGTCTATAACAAATATAATCAATATAAGAATATAGAAATATTAATATAAATCTGTAATATAAATAATTATTTGTACAGACGTAAGAATAAATATTAATTAATATATATATATTTATTACATACTCGATTATTTCAAAAAGACTTAGTTTTAAACGATATGTTCCTTCCATGCGTACAGATAAATCAGGAAATACGAAAAATCCAGCATCAGAGTTATCAATGTCTTTAAGATGGTATAGGGAAGAAACAACGGAGCCGGTCGTAGAACGTGTCTTGCCATCTCGAAGTAAATGTAGCTCTTCAGTTGTATCAGGAGCCATTAAAGACGCGTACATAAAAAAATAAGGATTCTGAAGGAATGAACTTTTTAAAACGAGACGCCAATTAGTTTAGAATTATCACGTGATTTGAATTGAATTAACAAAATATAATACCTTTTTTCGGCTTGTGGCAGGGTGGGATCATGAACTTTTAATTGGATTATTGGAGGTGGATCTATCGGGCGTCTGTCAGCTAGCATAAAAAAAGCTTATTAACAATATGGAATAAAAATTTTGGGGTCATGTGCAATCATGTGATATTATGAATTTTTAAAACTGCATAATGCAATACAGTAATAACATAGTTAATGGTATACAGTCCAAATCATCTGCAGAATGTCGAGATCCTACACACCATGATTGAATTCAGCTCAGACATCATGAAACGGTAAGATACGGATTATAGCTAGAAACAATACTAATAATTTATAAAATCCCATTTTGTTGAATTCACGCGTCTTATCCAATCATAGACTCGGTTTGAATAATCCAAGTACAGTATGACTTCTATTTAAAGGATTTTCTTTAACTCGATAAGCATTGCCGAAAGTGATATGACAGGATAAAAATGGAACAAAATTTTGCACATCTTCATAATGATTAACCATCTCTGCATTGACACGATCTAGATTATCAGATTCCGGAAAAGTGTAAAGATTTTCGATTTTTACCTTTTTCACCGATACCACACATCCTTGATTGCTTTGGTTGTTGACGAAGGATTAGGTCATATTGACTGATTTACCAGAACAGTTAAATGGAATCATTGACAAAAAGTATTATTATTAGACAAGTATTTTCTCATAAACGCATATATAGCCAGTGAATAAATTTAAATGTTTTGTGGAAGACTTAGCATTGATAACAACCAGACCAAAAATATACCAAAAACATATACCAACAAATATGGCAAAAATAAATATCAAAAAATGCACCAAAAAAATACTAACGATATATCAAACGATATACCAAACGATAATAACCAAATAGCATATCAAACAATATATCGAACGATATATCAAACAATATACTTACATATCCTGTCTATCTTCTCTACGCTGTCGTACCGGAGCAAATTGATAAGACACATTATCTTCCATTTTATTCTATCTCGTTCGTATTGTTACTCTATTTATCAAAAAAAAAAAAAAATTCAAAATAAGGTTTTTTTTTTTTGTTTTTCGAGGGGAGTGGTGATAAAAACTTGTTCATACTTACATATATTTTGCATTCATATAAAAGCGGCCTGTCAGGTTAAATAATAACGGAAAAGAGATATAGGATAAGTTTAATACACGAAGATAAGTGAAAAGGTCGATAATTTATGATATTTTTTATCAAAAAAATATATACATATATATGTATTAAATTATTTTAAAATTTAAAGGGTTTAAAAAAATATCGGAAAAAAGTAAAATTTACAAACCCGGTAGAGTTAGAAAAAAGCTGAGAGCGTGTTGGCGTTGTTTTTTTTTAGTAGTAATTTTTTTTGGAATTTGGAACAAATAATGGTGTCATATATATATAGAAAATTTTTTCGGATTAAGATAAAAGGGACAAGGTTGAAGGGAATTATTATTTATAAATATATTTATGTAACAAAGTAAAAATGAGTAAACCAGGGAACGGGAACAAATCCGAAAAATCGAAAAAAGACATGAATCATATGCGTACTAAGTTTGTTTTGGTTTGTTATTAGACTAAAATTTTTTGGGATCTGATAAATCGAAAATATTATTAAAGCTAACAGTTTCGGCCCGATAAGCCATTTAATAACTGATAAATAGAGATCAGACCTTAAGCATAAATGGATAGATGTCACATCAACATCTAACCGAATAGTTACGCCCATTTTTTTTGGTCGAATCCAAGAGAAAAAAATCAAATTCACATTTTTCAATTACGAAATGTTGTACGAATAGCCAAGCCCATAACCGGTTATGTACTTGCATATTTCCCCATTACTTGTCTATGAAATTCGTTAAAAGAAGGATATAACTGGAAAAGAAAAATATGAACCCTGTTGTAACAAAGACTTTCCCAAAAGTACGGAGACGGTTCTTGTCAAAAATATTACATAATAATAATAGATAAACAAACAGAAACAAGAATTGTACAGAACGAATATTATTTGAATACCGGTAAGTTAAAACACGGTTGCCACGATAATGATTACTATTCAGAATAAACCAGATTAACTGTGATATATAATTAAAGATATATTATTTAAATATATGTATATATGTATAAATAAATCTAAAATTTGAAAGACCAAATATCATATTTCACAATTAAGTTACCCCAAACGTGCTATATACACAATATCATAATATACAATATGTCTTATAATCAGATGTCGATATCTGATATATATCATATATACGAGATATGACGTATTGAATCTCACATTTCTCAGTTAGTTCTTCTCAATAATAGTGATAGTTTGTTGTTATTAAGTTACCCAAACAAATGATATATTTAAAATTTCAAAAATTTCAAATATACTCAATATATTCACATATACCTTGTAATTGGTAATGAATAACTGACTTTTCGGGTAACAACATTCTAGCGAACCTCTCACAAAAAGAAAAGTACTCACAGACATTTCATCACATGATCCTAATTTGTGCTTTGTGGGAAAAAATTCTCATGAATAAAATATCATATAGTATTTTCCGACATGAGAAAACATCTAGTTATAGAAATTGTATAACATAATAAGTATTTCATTGTACATCGATACCATTTTTAGTAGAGAAAATCGATCAAAATAAATAAAAACGAATTAGTGGTTTTGGATATTTTAAAATTACTTCTAATATAACTCCAAATCCTGTTCCCCCATGTGAGGTTCATGATTTTCGCGGTGCTCAATGTAATAATCCTGCAGATTCGTGGGTCGATCAATTTGACCATCTTCACTACATCTATCAATTAGAACCCTATTCATTTTTATACGTAACTTGGAATCTGGGAAAGACCTTCATTGGCGTGTTATCTTGCATCAATATGATGTTTATGTAACGTCTATAGTACAATCTCTGTCTAATTTCAGTTTCAACTCGTGTGTAACTTTGTTTCATGCTATTCTTCTCTCGGAAGAGATAATCTTTTACGAAATAATTCTTCGTCTGTAATCTAAATGTATTAACCAATCTGCTGATCAATTCTTCTTTTTATTAAATGTGTACTGGCTTGAACACTGCTCGAACTTTCCAAATTTCGGTTTCTTTACTTTGAATTTCTTATGAATAGCAAAGCTTGTTTCCTCATGTTCATGTAATAACTACTGTATACATATTTTTAGCTAGAGTTCATGATTGGTACTATCAAAGTAACGTTTTTGGAAATGCAAGGAGGGCAGGTTCTAGAGCTGGTTGCAACCTTCTTAAATATAATCTACATGAGACGAAATTGTACTACAAAATTAACATACAAACAAATAATTTTCAGTAATACCTACTTACCTATTTACTTATTACTTACCTACCTTACGTGCGTACGTACATTTAAAATATTCTGTTTTATCTGAACTAACCTCTTTTAATAACTGTATGTAACGGTATTTCTCTTTTTAATTATTATAAAAGTAATTGGTCTTTTTACCTTGCTTCACGAAAAACTTTCTATAAACTCTGTTCAAGTTGATATCTTTGTTGATTACCGCGTAATGTACATGATTTTAATGTTGCCCGAATATACTGTATATGCACGTACGTAAGACAGTAAGAGCGATCGGATGTTCATTTACCCAAATTATCGGTATTAGTTTTACTGTAGCTGCTCCTCGTTTATCAATTTTATCTTAGCAAATAACGTCAAGTGGTTCGTTTTTTTTTTTTTAATTAAAATCTTTATATTTTAGGGCACGTGAAGTATACTTCCCCCTTAATCCTCAAATCGAAAAAAAATTCTAAAGTTTTTCATTTTAAGTTGCAATAAACACAAATGTGGAAATAGTGACAACGAAACCGAGAGGCAGGAATTGTTTATGTAACACCAAAATTAAATTAAGCGATACCAATAATCTAATTTCACCGCGTTAAAAAAAAATTTCAAAACATAATCTTGCTTGTTACCCTGCGAATAGTACGACATAAACAATATAATTTTATTTGCCATACCAGTTTCATGGGCTTGCTATTGATAACCTCCTTAGACTTCTACAAACAAAAATGCATTAATCGTTTTTATGGGTGCTACTTAGTCAGCATCTCGACCCCTATCTTGAGTTATTATTCTTTGATCACGATTAATAAATGCTAATTCGGTTAGATTTATTATTTACCATAGAAATACAAAGTTTATATGCACAAGATAACTTCTTTTATACGCGTGAAATTTAACTGACCCAATGATTTCTTAATATTTCAATTTTATTTTACTTTATTTTAGTGAATTAATAAATTATACAATTTAAAATGTACAGCTTATAATTTTTATATTTTTTCATCTTAAATGTTTTGCCAAATAAAAGATTTGATTAGAGTACAAGATAATATTTTTATATAATTCATGATTTTTAATTTTTCTTGTATACGCAATTAAAAAAACTCTTCGTGAAGGCTGTCACATGATATAATTTGCTACTGTTATAACTGATAGCAGATAATTAACAATTATAGTTATATTAAAATACAGTATTAATTTTTAAATAAAAAACTTTAATTTTTTTTTATAATTTATTAAATATAATATAAATTAAATACTAAAATTTATTATATAAATTATTTACTTTATATGAAGTTTTATTTATTAATAATAATATTTGTTTATAAATATTATTTAATAGTAAATTTAATATATAAAATTAGTTTAACTTTTGTAAAAATATAATAGATAGTAATATATAAAAAAATAAAAATAAAATTTAACTTTATTAAAAAAATTAATATCTAAACTTTAATAGCTAATATTTTAATAAATTTTAAAATTATTATTACAAAGTTATTTGTTTTTTTTTTAAAGATAATTTTATAATAAACATATAGTATCTGAGTTATTTTAAAGCTATAAAATAATATAAAAAAAGAATAAAACATCTTTAGTAGTTTATATAATAAATAATTAAACTTATTACTTATTAAATATATATATAAAGAACTATTCTAAGAGAATTATCTAGATATATAACAAAATATATAGATCAAATTAAAGTTTAAACTATATATTAATTAAATAAGAAAAAGTATAGTAAAATATATTTAGTATATATATAAAAAAAAAAAAAAATTATATATATTTTTAATAGTTAAAAAAATATTTATTAAATATTTATATATATTAATATATATTATTATAAGTAATATAGTTTTCTTAATATAATACAAGTAATATAAGATATAGAAAGAAAACTCTTAATAATATCTAAGTAGAATATTATATTACTGTAATAGTTTATTATATAAAGTTTATATTAAAGCAAAGATTTTATTTATCTAAAAAACTAATAAAGAACTATCCCTTAAACCGTTTTCCAGGCAAATTTGCCTGGATTTTTAAAAAGTTTTTATAAATATTAATATAATTTAATAAAATATTAATAATATGGGGTCTATA